GGGACACGGGGGACAGCGACGCTCCCCCGGGGCATCTGTGGCCGGACCAGGACGTGCCACGCTTGGACCACGGGGATGGTGAGTGCTGGGGGTGACAGGGCGGTGGGAGCCAAGACGGGGCATGTGCAGACCCGGGATCCTGCATCATCTCTGCCCCTGTAAACTGGGATCAACGTGCCCTCCGCCCTGGGTTTGGGGTGCATGTGGGGTGTTTGCTGTGCTGGTTGGGCCTCTTTGTGCTGTGTGTGGAGCCCAGCCTGCTCCCCAACGAGTGGCACCAAGGTCCCTAACAGCCACCCTGGTTTCACAGGTGGAGCAGACACTCTCATGAAGCCCTCGACTGCCTCGATGGACAGGCAGAGGAGCACCGAGTTCTCGGCCCTTGACAGTGAGTGTTGCAGAGCCTGGTGCTCACAGATGCTCAGGCACAGCCCCCCCAGTAGGAGACAGGCGTGGGAGAGGTCATCTGGGTCACTCATCCCACAAAGGCAGCTAGAAAAAAAGTCTTTTACTGCTGCCGGTCCCTCTCATAATGTAGCAAGGCCAAGTCTGAATCCAGACCTTGGTGATGATTCGTGCCAGCAGTGAGAGGTCGCTGCAGCTCCATGCAGTGGAACTGGAGACGGCAAACTCTTTTCATGTACTTTCCTAATTAAACTACAAATCGCTTGTTGAAAACACATTGAGATTTCTAAGTGGAGCTCTTCAAGGGTAGGAAATATGAGGATGAACTTGAGTGCATCCCCTAGGCTGTCCTCTGCAGTATATCGTGTGCAATTATGCCATTAATGCCAGATCCCTGCCTCCCGCAGTGCCCCAGATGGACCCTGCCCCTCCTCGGGCAGCTGTTCGTGCTGTTTTATCTTCCCTGCTCAGCTGTTGGTCCCTGTGCACTGGTCAAACCTCAGTCTCCAGGCTCTTTACTTGCAAGGGAATAATTCCTTTTTTTGCAGGACTTGGTTTTTGCCAGGGACAGGAGGGAACGGCTTCAGATAAGGTGCATGAGACCTGAGCTTTCACGAGGCCTCAAGTCAGTGTTGTTCCTCCCTGTGCACGGAGGAGACGTGCCCTGACCCTCTCCTCTCACTGGAACAGGTTTCCCCCTGAAGCACTCGAACACGCTGACGAACAGGCAGCGAGGCAACGAGGTCTCGGCCCTCCCAGCCACGCTGGACAGTGAGTACCGCCGGGCAGAGCAGGACAGCGATTTCCGCCGGGCAGAGCAGGCTGCGCGTCTCAGACGCAGATGTAGATGGGATGTGGAGGGAACAGAGGGACAGCACGATGGGATCCTCTCTCTGTCTCCTGCTGCCACGTTCACTGCCCACTGGAGCAGCCTTTTACGCTGCTCCCTCCAATGCCATTGCTCTTGGCACTCGCCGTGGCCAGCTGTCCCTGCCGCTGAATGGCAGAAGGGTGTTGTTTACACATTGGGCTTTTTGGGGGCTCAGACGAGGGGCTGGCCGGTTCCCACCTGCCCAGGCTTGCAGGGACCCACCTGCAGATAGTGGGTGCTGAGCTGGGGAAACATTCTGTCCTGATGGGTGAATTCTTTCTGTCCCCCAGCATTGTCCATCCACCAGCTTGCTGCCCAAGGTGAGCTCAGCCAGCTGAAAGAACACCTTCGGAAAGGTATGTGTCTGTTTGGGTTCTCACCCCAGATCATGCAGAGCCCTGCCAGGTCATAGCATGCCCTCTGATAAACCCTCAGCTTAGTTTTACAGCCTTTGCTGGGTTTACGGGGAGGACAGGGAGCAGAGGGGGCTTTACCCTTCCTATTTACTACGTCTCATCCATGTCTGTGCAGGCGAGAACTTGGTAAATAAACCTGATGAGAGAGGTTTCACGCCGCTGATCTGGGCTGCAGCCTTCGGAGAGATCGAAACGGTCCGTCACCTGCTGGAATGGGTAAGGCCATGCTCACGCAGCACCTCGTTAACAGGAGACTTCCCATCTCCAATTCCGGTGGCTGCCAAATTGTTCAGTACCGTCCTGATACCATCTCAGCCGATCTTTCCCGTGGCACCAAACAGGACACGTTTGCAGAGCTAACGGCTCAGACACTGTCGGATGCTACTCCCCATTGGGCTGTGAGCTAAGTCAGGAGCATGAAGAGCCTTATCTCACAGCTAGCAATAACTGTTTGTAATTAAATATCTGCTTATTGGTAATTTGAGATCAGGCTTATCACTTGGGCCCTGTAATCTGCCAGCGAATGTGCTCACCGAGGTATCGTTGCAGTTAATGAACTCATTGCTGCATCGTCCTTCAGTGCCGGGCTTGTAGTAAAGGACTGTCTGGGGGTGAGCAGGAACCAGATCCTCCCGCGCTCTGGATCAAGCTGCTCCTGAAAGCTCCGTCCCACATCCATGTGTATCCAAGGATTACCAAGAACTCACACCTCATAAGCACTGGCCAAACTCTGTCTTTGTTACTGTATTAGCAGCAAAACTACAATGCATTACCAGAGAGACAAACAGAACCCAAAATAAACGAGGTGATACATCGATAAAGGATATATATGAAGTCCAGGAGAGGTCTGTGGCTGGCAGGGCTCGGAGGACAGGGAGGTTTTCTATGTACATCAGTAACAAAAGAGACGGTGGATACTGTGCAGGCATCCCGACAGGGCCGGTAACGCTGTTACTAGTGCTGGGAAAGAGGGCTGAGTAACAGGAACCATCAGGCTTAGTTTACTGACACTGGAGAAGGGCTTTTAAGTCCTCACCTGAGATGTTTGATGATGATTAAGATATGCCCGGTAAGGACTTTGGTAAGGAGAGGTCACTGGGAATGTGTGAGCTGTCTCTGTCCCATCGGGCTGTCAGAACCTGGCTCCACGATCAGCCCCCCTGGGGTACCCAGCAAGGCTGTGCTGAGCACCCCAGGTCCCTCTTCACCCATCGGGGCTAACGCCTGTGCCGTCCCCAGGGTGCTGACCCCCACGCGCTGGCGAAGGAGCGGGAGAGCGCCCTGTCCCTGGCAAGCATGGGCGGCTACACCGACATCGTCGTCATGCTGCTGGAGAGGAACGTGGACATCAACATTTATGACTGGGTGAGTGCCACCAGGCACAGGCTGCTGCGGGGACCACGCCAGCGCTGGGAGCGACACCAAGCCCTGGAGGGAGCTCCGCAAAGCTCATTTTAAAAAGCAGCGGCGAATTCACATCGTTCTGGGCCGAGTTAGCAGCAATGCCTTTCTCCTAGACGCTTCCCAGGCTCGCAGCACTCATTTGCCTACTCGTGCATTTGTTTCGAGAAATTAACCTGGATAATAATTTTAAATGGTTTCCTCAGTTGTTCACACTGGTGATGTTACCAGCCACAAGGAAACAGCGCTCAGTACTTAAGGTTGTCTTTAAAATTACACAATTTAAAAGTTACTATATTGCGTACAGAGAATAAAAACTCTGCAGAGCAGCTCTGCGAGAAAACATCCATCCCTGAGCTGGGACAGGGGGGAAAGGGGATCCCAGCGGGTCAGGGACCTACTGCTCTTGGAGAAGCAGGAGCTGTGTCAGCACAGCCCCACGCAGGGCCAGCAATGACACAGCCCCTTCCCTTTCCCTGCAGAACGGCGGCACTCCTCTGCTCTACGCCGTGCGCGGCAATCACGTCAAGTGTGTCGAGGCCCTACTAGGTAACGGGGAAGATCTGCACTTAGTCCTTGGCCTCGAATCGCTGCTTGTTGGTAACCGCCTCGGGGAGAGAGCGTGACATGCCTGGGGGGAGAAACTGAGCAGCCCCCTTGTCACGGGGGGCTGCCCAGCCAGGACAGGCACTTTTTGGGGGTCCCCTCACCCTGTGCCTGACCCAGAGGGAATGCCGTGTCGGTATGGGAGCGCCATGCCCTGATCTCCACTGCCTGCTTGCAGCTCGCGGTGCTGACCTGACGACGGAGGCAGATTCTGGCTACACCCCGATGGATCTGGCTGTGGCCCTGGGACACAAGAAAGGCAAGTGTCCCCTCTGTGCCTGGCAGGGAGCCCTGCCTTCCCTCCCTGGAAAGCTTCCAGGCAATTCCCAGCTTCCAACCCTGCTTGGGGCTTGCTTTGACCTTCCACAACAGCTCCTTGCTCTGCCATGCAGAGAAACCGAGCCAGAGAAATCAAGATGGGACCCGTTCCCCTTGCTCCCCCTCCAAACTAGAGCTGTGCTGGAGATAGGGCTGGGCCAGGGGAGATGGGGACAGGCCCCTGGAGAAAGGGGTTTTCCAGCCTCCCACTGGAAAACGGGAGCAAAACGGTGACCAGGCCCTGCTCGCAGCGGTACTGGCTTCTCACGGGCTTGGCTTCCCTGGGTTTCACTTCCCTCCCCTCCGTTAGTCCAACAGGTTATCGAAAATCACATCCTCAAGCTGTTTCAGAACAAGGAGCTGGAGTGATGCGGTAGCTCGCACTGCGCTGCTGCTTCTCCCGGCCGACGCAGGGCTCTCTTCTGGGACCACCGGGGCCTCACCCAGCCATCCCGAAACAGGCAGCGGCACGATGCTTCAAGCAAGGAGCACACGGAGGAAGCCGGGAACTGCCTGCCCTCGGTGGATCGATGCCTTTCCCGGAGGGTGGCACGGCCACAGTGCCTCGCACCCGGGGACACTCATTCCTCAGGACAGCTGCATTTCTGCCCTGTCCGGCCTCGGCTGCTTCGTGCGTGTGTGCATTTGGGTATCGCATTATTGGAAGTAAACTCTAAAGCAGCCGTGTGGAGCCCTGTCCGTTGCCTCGGCCTGTCACAACTGCCAGTCCCCGATCCCAGCACCAGCTGCTGGGG